AAAATAACTTTTGCTGATCTAAGTGTATGACGTCCGTGCACACATTATCCAAGAAACTTTGATCATGCGATACAACTAGCAGAGTCTTCTTCCAGCCTTGTAAATAGTTATCCAACCAGATAACTGCATTCAAATCTAAATGATTTGTAGGTTCGTCCAATAGTAATAATGTGGGTTCCAGGAAGAGTGCTCTCGCGAGCGAAACACGCATTCGCCAACCACCAGAGAAGTTTTTCGTCGCGCGATTTTGCATCGCACGATTGAATCCCAAACCGGCAAGAATCCGCCTTGCTCGTGGCTCTGCCGAATCTGCTCCAATAGCTTTTAACTCATCATACACCTGAAAATAATACATAAATCATATTTTGTACAAGTTTTCAATAGTTGCAATTTTCTTTAAAGAAAGAGATTTAAAAGAAAGAAAGAGAAAAGATAGAAAGAGAAAAGAATTATAGATTATTTTGTATATAATTTATCAATTTTTTAGAGAAAAAAATTTTTTTAATTTATAAAAGTAATAATTACCTCTTGCAATCTATTTTGCACGCTGGTATCCCCTTGCTCTGTCAATTCTTCTAATTTCTTGCATTCTGCCTGAAGCTCTTTGCATTTCACATCAGCATTGAGCACTACTTCTACAGCCGGAGTATCGTCCGCTATAACTTCTTGTTCACAATATAGAACATCTATCGTAGGTGGGATATTAAAAGCTCTTTTGGCTATATGACGGAGCAAGGTAGTTTTGCCATGACTGCGATAAAAAAAAATATCATATGTGATATACTCTTTTTATAGGAAATGTTGTCTTTTAAAAAGTAAAAAATCAAAATCTTGTTAAATTAAACATTTAAATAAGGAAAAATTCAAAAGTTTCATAAATTTTTCGATAAGTGTTGCTTACAACATGCTTTATAATTGACCTGTTTTTTGTTGCTACACTAGGATAGGATATATTACAATTTTTCTTTTTGCTTTTATCTTGTTCTTCAAATATCAAACATATATTTTTTTTATTTTAAAAATACAAAGAGTGTAGACTAGTTCAACTATAAAAAGAGATTTTATATTTACTTTATATTAATCCTTAGTACACACCTTAGTTTTTGATACTCTTACTACATATTATTTATGTCCTGGATTAATTTTCATCACTTTTACATATATAAATTATTAAACAATTTTTACATATATTTTGACATCTTTAGGAAGTATTTGTACAGTTATATATTTGTACAGTTATATATTTATATATTTATAACAAATTGCAAATAAATTATTATAACTAAATATAGTTAACAAAAAATGAGAAAAATGCATTATTTTATATAAAAATGTAAAACTCTGAAATAAAAATGTTTAAAGGAAAAATATAGTTCAATATCTTAAAATTGATATTCCAAACTACAAAGAAAAATAAAAAAAAAGTAGTTCAGATGTCGGTTGTCCAAAAAGTTTAGTTATTAAAAAAACCTGAAAAGGATGTTTTTTTAATAAGTGATTATAAATTGAAGATATATTGCATTCACATTTTAAACAATGCATTTTATTATTGCTATTGTGTTAAAAAAAACTTACAATTGATTAGAAAAATAATTGTAAAACTATCAGATTGTATGAACAATCAGAATTGTTTGAAATTAATAAAATTATATTGAACCATTAACAATTTTTTAACGATCAACAATTAGTATTTCTGTCCTCAATCCAAGGAGCATTCATGAGACTGAAGCTTTCTACATTCTCATTATGTATTGAAATTACAAAAAACAAAGAACATACATATCTTCAAGATTTCGAAGCTCGAAATTTGTATTTATCACATTTTAAAAATAATTTATATTTATTCGATGATATTTTTCTTGACAATTTCATATTCACGATCAAAAATATATATTTACTTTCCAAAAATATTTAATTAAGATGTTTGATTGAAAACATCATCAATTTTTACATTTTTTGATTTTTAAATATAAAAGATTTTTTCATTATTATATATCAAACTATAGTCTATCTTTTTAAAAAAAGTATATTTGGCTTCAACAAATACAAAGTAAGAATGCACTGTTTTACAATCTCAAAAAGAATTCGTGTACTTGAAACAATATAAATGATAGCCCTAGTTACAATAGAGAGAATAATTTGTAGGTAAAAATATATAAATGGTTAAAATTAAAAAATGCAGTATATCAATGAAATAAGAATCATTTTTATCTCAAGAATATAATTTTTTAAATGTAAGTATTGGTTTCATGTAAAATTAATTAATTTTAAGGATATTGCAACAAATTATTCTTTAATTTATTTTTATATGTTTAAAAATATATTACTGTTAAATAAAAAATAATTATTATCGTGTTTACTAATCAAAGAAAGTTTTAAAATTATTTCTCACTGATATATAATAATCAAGATAAAAAATGTAACTTATGATTATTAAAATAGAATCATAAAGGAGTTCAAGGGACATTTATATCTTTTGCAATGCGCGCGCGCGCGCGCGCGCGCGTGTGTGTGTGTGTGTGTGTGCGTGCGCGCGCGTATATGATATTTATATACAGGGTGTACTGTATTTTTTCATTAATATTTCAGAGAGAAAGAAGATAAAATTTTGAACTAAAAGTTCCTTTGTCAATTTTGGCTCAGACTATTATCAAGTTATTAATGATTAATCAATTAAGTAGCACGCAGACGGAATATGCAGGAACATAGTATGGGACTCCTCGCGCTTGCTAAGCATTATCCCAATTAAAATTTATTCTAAT